TGAAGACTTCTGAAACCTCTCTTCATTGCTTACGTGCTGGTTCTGCTAAATACCAAGTGGAGAGGCAAACGGCCGAGAATGTGAGCACAGTGCTCTGCAGCGGCGAAAAGCAGAGAGTGTCTAGAATTACCCGGAGAAGAACGGCAACACGCATCTTGAATTATTCATCCCGATCTGGTTCCCCGTTTCAAAACAGAAACAGTAGAACTAGAAAAACTAAAAAAATGGCAACAGCAATGAGGAGTCCAGAATGGCTCGTGTAGGAAAGATTCAACAGACTGAGGGTCTGCAGCTTGGGACACTGAGCAGGAATATGAAAAAGGTCTGTGAAACCGGAAATGCCTTGGAAAAGGAGAACAGCTAGTAACTTTTGTCATAATGAGAACAACGGAGCATCAAACAGAATTATCAGAGAGCCAATACATTAGTTGTTGGGCAGAAATGCAAGGAAGCACCACTGCATACAGCTCATAATTAAATTCCACAGCCAAGAACACTGCAGAACCAAAATAATACACAGATTCAAAAGGAATCGGGTGCAGGAATGGAAGTTCCTGGACTGCTGAACAGAGGAAGGAGGCGTAGCCCGGGGCAGGACCATCCTCTGCTTGTCAGTTTCTGGTACTTTTCCCACAAACGTCAGCGACAGGATGCCTGGCTCAGTGAATCCCTGGCTGACTGGTGGCTGTTACTCAACACAAGGCGAAACCGCCACGGCCCGTCTGTTCCAGCAGCACTCAAGCCTTACCTTGAGTTTCTGCACCCTCTTCTTCCCCACAGGATTTTCAAGGTTCCTTTTTATTTCCAGCTGATGATGACGCTATCAATGTAAGAGAAAGAGAAATCTCATGAATGGACATCGTGAGATGTCAATGACCGCAAGAGAAAGAGAAATCCCGTTAATGGACATTGTGAGATGTCAGTGAATGTAAGAACACCTGCTTCTGTTCTGCTTATTGCTCGCCTGCTCCCTGGCTGCCACCCGCACGGAGCCCTGTTATAAAACTACGGCGGATTCAGCCTGCCTAACAGGTAACAGGAACGTGCCCAAACCCCGTACTCGGGTAAGCCATACAGCCACGTTCCAACTATTTTGTCTGGATTAGATTTTTTTTAAGCAAGCTGACCCTGTGAATATCACCCCACGATCTGACGGCTGCGGGAGCGCAGTCCGTGACCCAGGACAGAGGCTGGGGGGGTTCCACGTGGGGGACGTCGGGCACAGGACTGTCCTTTCTCCCAGCAGCAGGGAGCCTTTCGGGGAGCACGAGGGAAGAGCTGCGGAGAACAGCCCAGCAGGAGCTAGCAGCACCGGCTGTCGGCAGGGAAGGATGGGGAGAGGCTCCCGCAGCACCAGGAGGTGCGTACCTCCATGTCGAGGACCTTATGCAGTATGGCCCGGGCCAGGCACTCCTGGATGTATCTTTGGTGCTCCCTCCTCGCAGCATTGAGCTGGTATTCTTTCTCGGATAGTATTCTTCCACTCCTTGAGATCTGCCATAAACAAATATAGTGTAACTAAAAAGGAGACGAATGAAGTATGTTTTCAAACAGGGTGCAATTTCCTAGAAGACTGCTCTCCCTCCCCAGTCATCTCCCAACCACCTCTGCTTCTGCTGCGGTGCTGAGCCCACCTGCCCGGCACAGAACTGTCGTTTCTTTGACCCCACGGACCCCATCAGCCAAATGGAGAGAGCAGGAGAGCAGCGGCCACATTTCCGAACAGCTGAGGGCTCAGCCTTGCTCTCCACGGGTGGAGGGGAGTTAGATGCTCGCCTCCCTGCTGCAAAGGGCTGCACCCGCCCGTGCTGAGCTGAGCCACACCTGGGAGCGCATCAGTGTTTGGAAAACTATTCAGCTCATCCACCCTCACCAAATCATTCTGTTTTCCATTAAACACTTTAAAAAAAAATAACACTGAAGCTATTTAGACAACTAGTAGAGTCAAAGATGCTGAGATTTCCCAGTTTAAAAAAAAAAAACCAAGAGAATCAATAGAATTCTATACCTTTGCAAACCAAAACATTTTGCAGAGGCAAACTCCAATGAGCAGAAAGAAATACGGAGCAAAAACATAAAACCATTCTGAATTTATCAAAACCTCTCCATGAAATTTCTTCTGCTGCCTGAAGGTGACACACAGGCAGGCTGACAAACACCCTCACTTGACTTGTGCAATAGTAAAGAAACCAATAATCCTTTTCTTTTTTTTTTTTTTCTCAGAAAAGGAAACTTTTCGGTCTCACCAGTCCTGATCTCTGAAGATGTCGTCTTATCCTGATGTTGTTGAAATATCCCACCAGGTGTTTGTCGGTGAGGCTGTTGTAGGTTGTAAGACATCTGAAATAATAAAGTCAGTACAGAGGCATATAATCCCCTCGACAGCCAAGTTATTGCAGCTTAAGTTACAGAGACCTACCCTATGGTCTGCTGTGCAAAATGCTGTCTGGATGAATCACGCCTGGCATTTTGGCAGATAAATGTTAGATTCCAGGAATCAAATGGGAACAAATCACATCTTTCTATTTATGGGTGAAGAACTGTAAAACCAACCAACACGGTGAACCGGACCACGCCGACCACCCCAGCCAGCCCCCCTCCCGCTCCGCTCTGGATCTCTGGAAAGCCAACAGAGCCCAACCATCACAGCTGCCAAAGATCCGAGCTGCCAAGAACTGGGATAGGAGAGTTGAACACAAAAAATTAAGCATCCAAAATTAGCAGATATATTTTGAAATAGTTCTTAGCACAACTTTATCTTACTGCACCCTCTGGAAAACAGGACGGATAACAAGAGACAGCAGGGCTAACATTTCAATACTCTAAATCCATTCACTTTGGTAAAATGTATACAGCCAGGGACGTGTTGTGCCATGTGTTAGCCTGACCTGGGGGCTCTCCAGGCAGGATATGTTTTGGTTACACAATAAGAGATTGATCTCTTTCATTTCCTTTGGCTGTAAATTTAAATGCCCCGTACCTCTGTTACCCGTATTTCAATGGGATAGTTCACGATAAATGCCCACTGCCAGGCTGAGTTACCACGCACAAAAGTGTACTCAAGGAAAGAAATAGCTATTAAAAAAAAAAATCCAAACAAACAGGAATTTTATCTGAGGTTTCACAATAATCTCACAGGTGGCCTACCAACAATAAATTCAGCTTTAAACAAACAATTTACCTTACCCTGTTATGCATGGTGATTAAACACTGGAACTATAGCAACTGCTCTGCATCCCTTTTTTAAGCCACTGTTGGCATGTGCATTTGAAACCACCAGATTATATCAATTGTGCAATTGACTTATGGTCTCACCGGGCAATTGCACGGGGAGTCAGAGGAGAAACTCAATACGGTTCCTGTTCGTTTACTTCCTTCCATCTAATATTTCACAGACCATGTAACTAGTTAAAATGCAACTCCCGCCTGAGCACAGACACAGCAACTTCACTTCCAAAGATGCCTCTGTACCTGTATTTTCTCATTTAAATTATGAACAGGCTGGTTACATTCTATGGGATTTCCACTGCATTGTCATTGCCACCACTATTTATTAGCAGTGTCCGGGTTTTATCAGCACATGGGGCACAATGTGCCGAGTTCAGAGCCAGGGCTGTGTATCATGACGATTTTTAAGACCATCTTTACTCCTTTGAAAGGAGATCAGGACAAAGTCACGGTAGGCACCCTACATTCCTTTTGTAAAGCAGATGTTCACAGTTAATAATTTACAGGGCAATTAAATCAGTGACTGCTCACCAAAGAGATCATCTAAGAGAGCCCCGAGGCTTTAGCTGTGGATTGGCAGAGTCACGGAGAACGGCAGCCCCTGTGTTCTATGTCCCAGCTGGAGCTTATTGTCCCCCCAGTCAGAGTGTCCTGCCCGATGGAGACCACCCTCACGCTAACAAGCTGCTGGATCCTGCACTGGTTCTGCTGGGGACACCCACAAGAAAGGCTCGTCCGGCTTTCGGACAGAACAAATCTCA